TATTAAATAATTGCTTATTAAACATCTCCCCTCCACTAAAATGCCTGATTTTCGCGTATAATAGGCACGGCGTGCTCGCTCAGTTCGAGCGCAACTTCGTTGCGCGTGAACTTGGCGCGAGGCACTACCGTGCCTCTTGATAAGGAAAAGTTGTTCAGAATGTTAACCTTGACAACATATTTTAAAGTTATCAAAATCGATGAGATGCTTCCTAATGTAAATAATTATCAATAATATATAACCTTTGGATAATGATATTTTTGTTTTTTATTTTTCGAGATGGCTCAATATGCTCCATAGATGGGATATAATGAGCCATTGTAACTATTTTTATTTACTATACACTTTTAGCTATGTACGCAGTATTTTAAGGATCTATAAGTGCTTACTTCTTGAACTATATAAATATATTATCTTTTAAAGTACTTGTTAGTTTATCATACTTGTGTGAAAAGATTGATAATAGTTTGAATAAAAACTAGCCCTGCTCTAATCCTTTCTATTCTCGTGCATATAAATAAGTACATCAATTGAAAATGCTCTGTTTTATACTTACATATTAAGTAAACATATTACGCAAATTGCGCAAGTTATGTCAAGTATTTTTTTTAACGTTTTTTTTTCTTAGCGCTATTCTAAAGTTCATTATAAGACATAATTTTTTTTTTCTTTTCACAGCAAAGTTTGTCTCTCGGCGTAACACAAAATGATGGTTTCGTTTAAGTTTGCGGCACGTCACACAATGATTTTAATTAATCGCGAAAGATTAGCTTTTTTCGATGCAACCGCGAGTTAAAAAGAAAAGCAAACAAGAAATAATTAAATAAAATCACACAAAATAACAATAGAATAAAAACAATTATTTCTTCTTTAAGATTACAACACATGACGTTAAAACTCAGAAAAAGAAGTTACAAAATTATACCATAAATATGACATAATAATCCACGTTACATTGGTAATGCGCTAAATGAATATGCATTATCGAGAGAAGAAATTCTTAAGAAACAAACACAATATATGATTATGACGTTTGAAAAATGAGTAAACAAATTCCGATAAAAAACGCTTTAATATGTCCATTTATATCAAAAGCATTTCTTGGTCATCAATTATAACCGAAAAGCAAAGATTCCATTATAAATATTTTTACCATAGACATATAAAAAATGGACTGCGCGTTCCTTATCTTCTCTGTGGAGAGGGAATGGTTAAAACGCAAACAAGGATAGATGCTTTCACTCGTGTCTTTATCCTTGTTTTGATGCGGTAATTGGCGGACAAGAAAAGTAGTAGAAATGAGAAATAGTATAGGAGAGATAGAAGAACGCCGAGCGATAAAGGAACGACAGTGACAGAAGTCGATTGTCCTGTGAAGTTGCATAATAATCCCATCTTCAGACGCTGAGAAACAGAGATAGAAACATGAGTCGATTGACGTCCCGTGAAGTTGCATAATGATCCCCACTCCAGACGCTGAGAGACAAAGAGAGAAACACGAGTGAAAGCATGTGTCTTGCTCTGCGTTTTGATCATAGACATAGACCCTGTTCGGTTATTACTGGCAGTGCTGAAAATCTATAGATTCATGTCTTGTATATAGATTTTTCACTGGCAGTACTGAAAAATCTATAGTATACGAGACATGAATCTATAGATTTTCAGCACTGCCAGTAAAAAACGAACGCAGACACATAAAAAATAGACTGCGAGTGTCAGAGAGGAAGTAAATCAACACACAGAGCAAGACAGATGCTTTCACATGTGTTTCTGTCTCTGTCTCTCAGCGTCTGGAGTAGGGATCATTATGCAACTTCACGAGACGTCAATCGACTTCTGTTATTTTCGGCTCTATATCGCTCGGCGTTCTTCTATCGCCTCACTATGTTATTTCTTATTCCTACTACTTTTTTTGTCTGCCAATTACCGCATTACTAAACAACGATAGAGACACGAATGAAAGCATCTATCCTTGTTTGCGTTTTGATCATTCCTTCTCCACAAAAAAGATAGGGAACACGCAGTTTATTTTTTATGTCTATGGTTTTGACTCACTTCTCCTTTCACATGCGCAATCTATTTCTTGTATGTCTATGATCTTTACTCGTTCAATACATATCCCGATATCAAACTGTTTCGAGATATGGTTTTCTTTTTTTTCACATTACTCTTATCTCGATCCCTTTTTAAAGGATATATGTAGTTTAATTACAAAGCCATGTAAATATACTGCTTTATTTATATAGTATAATACGAAAATGACAGTAACTTATAGTAATTTTTTATAAAATATGAATATATCATGTACGCATATAACATAAGATAAATGGCGAACATTTTGCATACCATCTCGACAAATCATTCTTAATCAAACGCGCAAATCTTTTCAAAATTATCAAACAAAATTCCCTGGTATTTACAATCACCAAAAAATTGGAAATAAAATCTTAACAAGGGAGCGTTGATTTCCTGTTAATTGACAGTTTTTTTATCATACGATATATGATTGTAAAGCAGATACACACTAAAACGCATATCCGATCCGAGTATGTGTTGTAAGTTAACATTCTATGCAAATTAAAAATTCGGACGATCCGGTAAACGGTCTTTCATCTCGAGTATGATCTCCACCATACGCATTTTGAACGCCGGTATGTTCTTGTAATGATCGATCATGATGTCGACTCGTTTGTCTCCGTACAAAATGTTTTCGAGTTCGTCGGTTGACTCGTAGAGCATACTTTTGATCTGCTCGTTAGATAGCAACATTATTTGCAGATTGAATCCTGCGTAAATAATGGCTATGTCACGCGCCTCCGTGTAACTTTTCTGAAATGTCGACCAGGGTAGAAGATTGTTTATATCAAAATTCTCTTCTGCCAGATTTTGAGCAAAGAAATCATAATAGATCCTCGCAAAAGAATTCAAATTCCTATCTCTGATAGCTCTAGTAGTGGTCAAATACAGGCAGCACATGAAGTCAATTGCCGGCGGAGCGTAACAAAGAAATTGAAAATCCACTAGGTAACAACCGTTCGGTTTGCCGACCGCGTCATATCGGAACAGCGTGTTATTCGCCCAGACGTCGCGGTGACAGGCAACGTGTCTGTATCCGCGCAACATTTTTATCACTTGCGTGATTTTTGGATACCACTTATTTATCTGGCGCTTAACAATTGCTTTGCCTTCGTTATCGAGTTCCTCAGTAATATCGACCATGGCGCAGAGACTTTTACTACTGGAGACGATCAATGTTTGCGTCACATTGTCGTTCTCGATTAAGAATACTTCCTTCAGAAGGTGTCCGTAAAAATCGAGGATGGTGCTGCCACTCTCCTGGCGAAGTCTTTCATCCAGTATAAGAGACTTTGAGTGCAGTCTCGCGAGGGATCTCAATAGCCAAACGCAATGCTCCTCATCGAACGGAACGTATTTGTCCGGTGTGACGTAGCCATCCAGTGACACGTCCTCCAGAACGATGATGACGTTCGGTTTGCAAAGGTAACACTCTACCATCCATCTCGGCGATTCGCTTGCGCCCATTTGCCGCGCCAGATCCGTATAAACGCCGATCTCTTTATTATATGTATCACATCTCTCCAGAAAACCGACCTGCGGGCTGTGAGACGGCGGCGGACATTTCGCAAAGAATTGTAAACTTTCCGTCTTCCCGTCCACTTTTACCGTAACGTGCAGACGATAATATTGGCCAAGAAAACCCTTTGACTCGTCAAGAGGATTCAATCTCCAGTAGACAAGTCGAAAGTTAGCATTGCCACCGAGTTTGCGTTCCAATATTTTGTTAATGTCGCAATCGTTTAGGAGAGACGTCTCATGATTATTCTGCGAGGAAATCGGTAACACAAAACACGTCTTGTCGTTTATCGTTGCCATTGTCATAACATCTGCTTGCACATTCACATAAGTAAGTTATATCGATAACTATACATCGAATTTATATCTGCATCGTTAACATATGCTGTGACGCTCGCTTATATGTAATTCTTATATGTAAAAGACAAAGGAGAAGGGATTGTTTCAGCAAACTTGACGGCGCGGATGACACTTCCGCAAATATTTGCCTTACTATCTTTGAAACATGAGTCGACAGATTGCCAATAGACGACTTGCGGCAAAGTGATATACTAGACAAATATCTCGCGAACCAACTGATGTATGAAATTTATGTCGTACCGTAAATCTGTCTGATATACTTGAGCAATGTGACGAGGAAACGAATCTCGGTGATATAACGCCGGCTCTGAGAAAAAAAGAGTGTCATGTATTGCGATAGGAGCGCGTCTGCATACCGGAAATTTACTGGCGCGGCTACTTCCGAACAAGCGCGCAGACCGCTCGAGAAAAATGTTGCGGGATGAAGCCGCGGAAATATTTGCGGTTTTGCGGCTTTTATCTTGAAGTATAATATTGTCACTCTACGACGATGAACAGTTGCAGTAATTACCGGTTTGTAGATTTTTCGGAGAAACATGCGAATTTAAAATTCAATCAAGATGTTGTGTATTGCAGTTGTACTTAATTCATCAGAGTTTATAATGATTGCTAAATTATAGTTTCATATGTGAAAACGGAACTTTAGATTATCACACGTATGCGTGTTAATAATTAACCCGTATCAGAACCTGCGTTACTAATAATTAATGTCACTAGCTAAACAGATTTAAGAAAATAAATCTGTTAACATTAATTATGTTATACACAAGAGCTACTGAAATATACAATATATTGTTTAATAAATTTACATAAGAGATGTTATTATCTAGCAATTGATATAATACACGTCGTGAAACAACGAGAAAAAACATGAAAGAACGTGATTAGGAGAATATAATAAGCACAATTTCAGGCCAAGAAACTGTTGAATGTTTGTCAGATCCTGTAAAACAATTTGCGGAAGAAACTTTATTCTTTCTCGTAATTTTTTTGTCCTTACCTACCTACTATAAACGCATCTAATTTTACAGAATTATTAACGGGGTCACTCTATATAGCCTTTTTGGCTTTGCTAAAGTAGCGATACCTTAAACGATATCAAAGATGATTCGATTATCTGCGTTCTGAAGCCGAGAATAAAACTCGCTAATATTAATGTGTACTATACACACAAAGTATATAATAATTTCGTATTACTTCTAATACGTAATAGTTTTTTTTCTCCGCAACTACATTTTCTTATTTTGAGACGCTTTATGATTGTAGGGGACATACCGGAGCTAGTTGTCACGGGGAGTTGTCAAACTGCTATTATCTTGCTTACTATATAAATTTTGGAAAATATTCTTCTTTATATTGTAACTTGCTACTACTGTGTTAGTAACGTGTACAAAATAGCTTTTTTTAAAAATATGATACATAATATTTATGAGTATTTTTGTAAAACTGGACATGACAAGTAGATTTTTCTTATCTCGAGTTTTTTTTAGTAATTTCACTGATTTTAAAATTTCTACTTGCAAGTTTATCTTAGGTATAAAAAATGTGGTAGTTTTAAATAGGTTTTCCTACATTTATTTATAATCGTCATCGCATTGTAAGTTTATTCAAATGAGACGGGATAAGTTGTCACACGGTGAGTATGCGCGAGAAAGTAATCGCCGTGCACAATAGAATGCGTCATGTTTTATAACTTTAACAAAAACTTTATCAATACAACAAGCTGTATTATTATTTGAAGTAAACTATCGTACGTTAACTCAGTATTATAAAAAAATTTCAAAAAAGACATATGTAAAACTATGATTTGTACAAGTGGATTATGCTAAACCAAAAACGATTTTTAGTGATTTTGACAAGAAGAACTAGTTAATTATATATTACGTGCTTCATATATTTACTTTGATCTTACACTCAAAGAAATCAGAATTATGGTTTATGTGACAACTAACCCCAAGTACGAGACGTTGACAAAAATTTGCACGATCATGTTTAACATTAAATAACTTTGTTTGTATAAAGATATATAAAAATAATTTTTTTTCTTAAAGCTAAAAAATGTGATTATTATGTAATGTACTTAATATTACATATAATAATATGGTATATTTACAATAATATTATACAAATAGTATTTTTTTCATAAAGCTGAAGAATGTGACTATTATGTAATGTATCCAATATTACATATAATATGATATAATAATATGATATAATATTACAAAATAACATATACAATATTAATATGGTGTACAGTTTGTTTATTTTTACTAATATAATTTGCATGTGACAATGTGTCTATATACGCTTAGGTATAAAAAACTGAAAAAAATTAAAACATGAAAAGCCGGTTTTATATTGTTGACAAACATGTGAAAGCATAAGTGTTGTTTACTGAATGTTTCAGCAAAAAAATTTGGAACTGTAAGAACTCTAAATAAAAACTTTGCAGCAACAAAAATGTGTTTAAACACTTTGTAATATTGTATCTTGTAAAACTCCGGTAAACATATGACGTCGTGCTAGAAGATAATATATTTTTGCGTCAGATAATTTCTCGCGCTCAAAATAGCGTATTGCATCATGTAAATAAATGACGAAAATGGACGTTGCATGAGGAAATCTTTAATTGTTAGTCGTCACGCAGCGTCGCACGCACCGGCGCGAAAACGTCGCCGACCGACATTTTCTTTTTTCTGCAGAACCGCGGAGAGAACGAGTCAGTAGGACAGCTCGGAAGAGGAATTCTCATTAATTGACACGATACTAATTAGACTTTTAATTAACGAGTCGGAAATAAACAACGATTTGCGAACAGATGTCGCGTTACTCTAATGATTTAACTGGCCGACAGTGAGAGTCACGTTGACGCTCATTAATATACATAAATTTGCGCACAGTCCTCAGTACTGATTAGCAATTCGTGAAGAAAGCTTTGCTATGTGCTATTTATTTCTGTTTTTAATACCGAATGACTAACATGCAGTTTACTTTTGCGAGTTCTTTTTTAAACAACTTTAATATCACTTTTTTGCATTGTATAATCCGTGAGAAAAAGATATACCGGTGCGCCGATTCTGCATTCACGTTTGAGTATAAATATAACAACTATATTAGAGTATATCTTCATTCGAATAATGTCATGAACTTTACATCAGCCCGACAATGTAAGTTGTTCATTATTTCTTTGTCTCTCGCGTATCATTTGTTCTTGTGCGCGAATATAAGTAACCTGGGAGTGTTCACTTGGGGTGTTTTTTACACTCTAGCGTCAAAAAAATGAAACTCACGTCATAGCAGTTTTTTTTACAGATTGCGAACCCATACTTACCTTTCAATCAAACCTTTTGAGACATAATCTGCACAATAGAAAGTGTTTATGTCTTACACATTGGTAGTACAAAGCTATTAAAACTTGCTGGGATGTAGAAAACACCCCAAGTGACTGCTTGTGTAACTATACAAGTTCGAATATGGTAAGAGTATAAATTTGAAATAATAATATAAGTTGAAAATAACATAAGATGACGTTATGAATACTTATATTAGAATAAATAAATAAATAATAATATATAGGTATAAAACAATTAATACAAAATAAGAAAACTAACTATTGTAGTATAGTAAAACAGATATGTAAAGATTTAGAAAATAACAAATAATAAATCGTTTTAAATAATAAACAAAACAAACTTTTAAGGATGAATCAATTATTATTGTGTAAAAACCATATGCAATATATTTGTTCAACTTGTATAGAAAAGGATTCTAACAAATAAAGTATTTGGTAAAATCTAGTAGAAGTTAACACCTATACATAGCTGTCTATAAAATAAAAAATATTTTAAAACTGAAAATTATTTTTGTTTTGGTACTTTTTAATGTATAAAGTTTATATAAAATTTTATTTTTTTATAACATATACATAAAGGTTACTATATGTTTATTTTTATTTGAAACTACTTTATGTAATTTATTTTTATAGAACATAAATATAAAATAATACTTAACCAATATTATTACTATTACAATATGATAAAAATAAATTACTTTTAATACTTTTAGAACAACAAACTTAAAATACATAAATTTATATGATAGCGATTTAACCTTATTTTAAGTTGCTATAAAATGAATATTACATAATATTTTTTTTTTTTAATGGATAGTCTTTATAAACTTTTAAATACAACCTTATAAAAAAATCCGCAACATAAAAGTATTTTATTAACTGATATTTTTATATTTTAGAAAATCTGTCATAATAAGCTTCTTAATGTCTTTTTTTGTTTTTTATTATCTTGATTTCTTTTTATTTTTTCCAGAAAATATAAATTAAATCTATATCCATAATGTCTTTACTTCTTAATAAATTATAGAACAATCAATAATTTACAATATGTAATGAATAACAATGACTTTTAACTGGGGTGTAAAAAACACCCTAAGTGACCGTTTACGTAAAAAGTATGGGGTGACTACTCTCGGGGTAATGTTACCTGAGAAACGTATTGTCTGTAAAACATGCAAAAGTCTGTCTTAGTTAACAACTGACCTCTCGCAGCGATAAAACGATATACAAATTACACTTTATGGTTTTAGCATATATAATACGCTTTCGATGTTTCTGTTAAAAGTGGCAAAAGCTATTTATTGGCAATTTGTTACATTAGTAATAGAAAAACAGAATAATGATGTAAATTTACAATGTGCATTATTCGCGCGACGTATATAAACGGCGTGCAAAAAGAAAATGTCTTTCTGACTAACGTCGTACCAACTAAAGTTCTTAGTTTTGAGATTCGAAGATTTTGTGACGTTTTGCATGGAACTTGATGCGGAGTTAAGGACGAAAATTTATACTTTCTATAGTGACGCCAGTGCACTTTCTCTCTCTTTCTTTTTCTCTGTCTCTGTCTCTCTCTGTCTCTCTCTGTTTCTTTCTGTCTCTGTCTCTCTCTGTCTCTCTCTGTTTCTTTCTGTCTCTGTCTCTCTCTGTTTCTCTCTGTCTCTGTCTCTCTCTCTCTCTC